ACGCGGCTGGCCCTGGCGCAGCAGCGCCAGGGGGTCGCCATGGCGACCTGGGGGAATGCAGCGGCCCCTAAGCGATGGCCAGCGGCTGTCGACATGATCAGCGGCCCATGGCACGCCGTGCGCGGCGGGCACGCGGTGGAGCCCGCGCCGCCCGCGCTGGGGAAGTCGCCGCGTTGATGCTGGGATCGGCATGGGCCCTCGCCGATGGCCGCGCGGGTTTCAATGGTGGCGCGCGTCCATCGCGCATCATCCAGCTGGGTCGGCACGCGGGGCGCGCGCGTGGCGGGCGTCAGATGAGTCCAAACCCGATTGTTCCCCATGGTGGTTTGGAAGTTGACGCGGGCCAGCAGCGCTGCGCGGGCGGGCGCGATGGGCATTGCGGTTGCCGCAAATATCTGGATGTCGCCACGTTGGTTTGCGAGCGGAAGTGAAGCCGAAACGGTGGCCGACTGGAATCCGAAGCCAACGCCCGCCCGTCAGACCCCGTTCGGTTGGGCCAGCGCGCGGTGCGCGCGCGTGCGTGATGTGTTCAGGTTTACTCTCGCCACACACACATTCACATGTCGGCAAGGAAGTGTGCTATCTCCAGCGGGCCCAGCGAGCCGATTCCAAACTGCGTTTCGAAGTGGCATTGGCGTTCGACCACCACGTGCCAAACATATGGGCGACGCCGCTACGCGCGCGCGCGTGGTGGGTGCCTTGCCCACAAGGAAGCACCACTGCTTGTTTGGAAACGAATGGGGCCCCTTCGCGGTGGCCGCTTGCAGTTCGCACCGAACGTGCGCCCTAGTCATGCCATTGGGTTGGGTCGGCGGGCTGCGCGCGCGGGGGCGGTGGCGAGTCCATTGCAGCCTTGCGCCGCTCAACGCCATCGGGCCCATGGCGAATTACCGTGCACGTTGCGTTGGGCAGTGCGCAGTGCGCAGTGTAGTGCGCTGCGTACATGCCCTTACCATGTCCAGCGCGGCGTGGCGTGCTGGACTGGGCGTCGGTGGAACCCGCCAACTTTGGCTGGGAGGTCCGTGGGCCCAGCCCGTCGGGCTACGCTGTCGTATTCTGGGGAATACACGCGCGCTTGCGCAGATTCGTGCCCGCTGATTGCGCAAAACTATCGCGACGATTGCCAGATGGCCCCGACACAGGTGCATGGTTGTTGCAAAGGGTTCTAGCGGCACGCACGTTGCTTATATATATATATATATATATATATATATATGTATGAATATGTACATGTATATTTGGGTTGATTGATCACAGACCAAGCGCGGTTCCACCGCGCGTGTGCTCACGAGATACACGGCCCAGTTGGGCGGTGCGAGGTTCCCAACCGCGTAACAAACCTGCTATTCGCGCATGCCGTTCGTTCGCTTAGTGCGTGTGTGCTGTTTTTTCTGTCTTATTGCCGCGGCTGCGACCACCACTGGGTTTGAGCATGTGCACCACCACTGTAGCACAGTGGTTGCGTACGCGTAGGCGCAATCATCATTGTGTCGTTCCGTAGCCGCGGTGGTCACGGCAGGCTTGCTTGAGTTGGTCACAGGTTTCCCGCACTGGCGCTCCTGACAGAGCACGCACATGAAAGCGCCTCATGAAGGCAATGCCCATTGTATGTTGAAACAGCCTGCATCTTTCAGCGACACGGCGCAGCACGGACCACATAGCCCAGCACCGCATAGCATTTTATCGCACAGCATGCCATTTAGTTTTTGTTTGTTCATTCGGCGGTTGCGTCACATATGACATCGCAGAAAACGTTGCATAACACTTGGTCGCTCAACATTACTAGTGCGACGTCGGCTGTGTCAAGTAGCGTGTTGTGTTAGCACCTCGTAGGTTGCGCCGCATAGCTTGCACGTCGATCCGCAGATGTACGTTGCGCATGTGAACGCACCCTCTCATTGTTATTCATCCTCTTCCTCGCCGTCCTCCCTCTTCCTCCCCCTCTTCCCCCCGTCCTCCACGTTCCCCCCTCTCCTTTCCCTCCTCCTCGCCCGCCTTTCTCTTCCTGTGGAGCCGTTCGGCGCCCTTTCGGCGGATGTGGTGTGGCGATAGCCATTATGTTGATGATGGTGGCGATGATGACGATGATGGTGATATGTTTAGCCTCTTCGCCTGATCAATGACATATTCACTTAAAGTACTGATCAGCGGGCCAGCTGCTGGACTTAGACTGGGACAGACAAGCAAACTGGGCACAGGCATGCTCAGATCAACACTTCAAAGTCAGGATCGCTCTCTGCGTCCGCTGCCTCCTGGTTGCCCAACGTTGCTTGATCACTGTCGTGTGCGGACGCACTCTGGATGGCCAGACTAATCTGGTGCAGTTTGGTCTTGAGCTTACACATCCGAATTCTGAACCGCTTCGACCTGGCCCTCTCAACCGAAAGCTTCATCGCCAGCTGCGCCACCTTCCGCTGGGCCGAAGGGCTGAGCTTAGAGAACCAAACAGGTGGCATCTGGCGGGTCTGCTCTCGCGGAGGCGTCTATGTCGATTCTCCAAACAAATGGCGTTTGAGTCAAGATGCCTACAGAATGGTTGCAATGCTGGCGCTGGCACGGTCATCTTGGCGCTGGCGTTGAGGCGCTAAAGCGCAAACATATGTAGTAGTGTTGGTGGTGCCATTGCTGGCGTTGGCATTGCTGACGCTTGCGATGGAACGATGATGCTGGCGCTGGCACGGTAATGCTGTCGCTGGCACGGCAATGCTGGCGCTGGCACGGTAAACATGTTGGAGTTGGTGTTCTTGGCGCTGTCGCTGGCACGGCATTGCTGGCGCTGACACGGGAAACATGTTGGTGTTGGTTGTATTGTCGCTGTCGCTGGCACGGCAATGCTGGCGCTGGCACGGTGAACATGTTGGCGTTGGGTTTGTTGGCGTCGTCGTTGGCACGGCAATGTTGTCGCTGGCACGGGAATCTTGTTGATGCTGATTTTGTTGGCGTTGTCGTTGGCACGGCAATGTTGGCGTTGGCACGGTGCAGATGTTGTTGGATTTGCTGTTGCCGTTGTTGGCACGGCCATGTTTGCTTTGGCACGGTAAACATGTTGGCGTTGGTGTTGTTGGCGTTGTCGTTGGCAGGGCAATGTTGGCGTCGGCACGGTGATGTTGATGTTGGCATTGCTGGCGCTGGCACGGCACCCCCGTTGCTTAAGTGGCACGGTGACGTTGGCGTTGCCACTTGCGTTGCACGAACCCACAGGGAACAGCGAGGGGGAGAGAAGTGAAGTGAGACGCGAGGCGGGTTAGCAACCCGATCCCCAATCGGCCTCATGAGGATGGTGACCCCATCGGGTGGCATGGCCAGACGTCGGCACGAGGGCCCACGGGGACGTTGATCCCACAGAGTCAACGATGGTGGGTCCCCAGGGTCGTACAGCAAAATGCCGAGACTGCCCCAGTGATGTTGATGATAACGTTGGATGTTGGTGATGCTGATGGTGATGATGATGGTGGAGATGCCGATGATAGTCGTCATGGCCCTTGTCATGCTGACATAGGGTCTTGGTGCTGATGGGCACATCACGTTTCATATTTTTTCAATGCATTGCGCAGAGGTTTTATCCAACATCCTCTGCTGCGTATGCGTCCACCTCTGCCGAGGTGGGCTTTCGGTGGCCCGCTTTATCTGCGGACTCAAACGCCAGGCGCAGCCATGCGCCCAAATAATACTGCGCTGCGCGTGGGCCACATCGCTCTGTGCCCACGCGAACAGATCGAAACAGCCGGCACCTGCCATGGTTGACGTTGCAACAGTGCACACGGACGCCAACTGCTTGCAGGCCAGATGGTAACATGTGGGTCTCTCTCGTGACCCGCTGGCCCTCGATGAAATGCGCAATTGCCTCCGCGCCAGCAAGCAATCCATCTCCCACGGGCGCTGGAGGGGGAACTGCAGGGGCGAGCTCGTCAACCTGCTGGCCGTCATCGCCCACGACGTCGTCGTCGCCAGCGATGTCGTCGCCGACGACGTCGTCCTCGAGCGGGATGGGGCCCATGACGGCGTCATCGATGACACCGTCACGCGGTGCATCCACACCGTCGTCCCCGACCACGTCATCAAGAATAGCTGGCACATCCACTTTCAATTTTTTTTGCAGGCATGTCAACGATTGCTGCAACATCATGCTCGCCATCTCCTTCCAAGGAGTTCAGAATGGCAATGTGCCTGGCAAATTTCTCGCCTGGCACTGCTTTGGATGGATCCTTGAGGAGCAATCGAAAAAAACGAATCGGGCTCAGATGATTTGAAAGGCTTGGCCCCCTTGTCAAAAAGGGCCTCCAGCGAGAGCAGAGCTAGCAAGTAATGTTTCCTACCAACATGCATGTTACGAGAATCGTATGTCACAGCTCCGTCGTACTTCTCATACGCAACAACTTGGGCACGCGATGTCCACCCAAGTGCCTCGAGATGGTCCAACAGAGACAACGTGGGACATTGCACTCTGGAGCCAGTAGGCGCTGCAACCCGAGGATCACATAAATCCAAGCAGCCTTCAATATCGCTTGGCACTGCCTGCCATTCCTTCAAGTTCTGTCTACACTCAAACGACGCATCCATGAATTCAAAGAAATCGAACGGCCCTGGATCCTGGACAGGATAAGCGTGCACAACATCGGACTCCAATGGATTACCAACCCATCGCTCCAAAAATTGCACATGTATAACGAAGGAGTCCGTGTCGCTGGCTTGCGTGTTTACAGTATGCACAAGTTTTGCGCGGACCTTCAAGCTCAACGCCTGCATGTACACGCATGGAGGCTCGTCAACTTCATCGTCACCATGGCATTGGAACGAATAGTAGCCGTACTGCACAAGCAATTTGGACAGATATTCTGCAAGCAAGCTCGCCTCTCCGACAGCAAATCCTTCGACGTGCTTTTTCTTGGGACCCCGCCGTGGCGCGCCACCGCCACCGCCACCGCTACCTCCTCCTCCTCCTCCTCCATCGTGTGGCTCATCATCCTCTGGGCCACCTGGCTCATCATGTTCTGCGTCACTCAGCACGCCGTCAATATGTCCACCTGCACTCGGCCCTGCACCGTCATCGCCACCGCCTCCAGAGCCAGGCGCACTTGCCGGGGCTGCCATGCCATATCGCATGCAGCTCAAGTGCGTTGCCGTGTATGTTCTGGCAATAGCTCGAGATCGTTTCAGGCGAGATGGCGCCATGAGCGTAGAAGCTGCCCTTGGCGGTTGCAGCACTGACTTAGCGTTGGCCCAGTTCGTGTCAAGATTTACGTCTCAAGCGCTACAGAAACCACGGATGACCTCAAGATTATTCTCGAGCCTGATGGAACTGGCGATCCAAGGAAAGGTGCCCCGCCGAGCTCGCAAGTGGTGGTGCCTAGCCACGGCATGGGGGCCCTCGGCAACAGTGTCATCCAAAGGTGCAAATCGAATGGAATCGATTTCTGCCTCCAGCTGAGGGCTCATGTTTTCCCCCCTCTCGTTGATGTCATCTACTGCAGCACGCAATGGCGACCCTGGTCTCATGATGGCCAGAGTCACGGAATCATGGCAACATTGCGGATGCGCATTGAACAAGTCAATGCATCTTGATTTCATGCCAGGCGCATGCAACCTCCCCAAGATGTAAGGTAGATCGTTCAAGAATTTGAGCTTCAAGGACCCGAGGGCGGACGTGCTCCTCGCCAAGCCGTGGGCTTGGCGCAACAGTTGCTGGTCGGGGCCGAACCTGCCCTCCATCCAAGCATTGGCCTCGTTCAGCCCAGCCCTCAACTTAGACAGGTCGTGCTCGAAAGCAAAGCCTAGCACGCAACCAGATCGAGTGCAATTGATGGCCTCACCAGAATCCCACAGATGACGATGGCAGGGGCAGTACCCTGCAAAACGGATTAGATCATTGAGCCACGAATTGAACCACATCATGACTTGGAATTGGAAGGGGAACGATTGACAACTCATGGCCCCGAGAACTATATCCAGACGGGTTTTGTCACGAATATCTCCAAATGCAGCTCTGGTGATGTGGCCCCTGGCCGACCAAATGAAACCGTCCAAGCAGGTCAGCACATGATAAAGTTTCTGCCACCTCCACTCCGCAAAACTAGGCACATTCGACACCGAGCCCACAAGAGCAGCTAGACCATGCAGTCCGTGTGCTCTCCAGTGCGTCTCTAAAGTGTGCCGTGCACCCTGGGGCGCATATTCATTCACATGCACGCGCGCACCTAGTTTTATATGTCCCACCTCCTACTCCTACTTCGTACTCCTACTTCTTACCTCCTGCCTCCAACCTCATCCCACCTCCTACATCCTGCTTCCTACTCCCCCCTCCCGCCTCCCACTGGCCTCGGAGATCCTTCGCCCTACCAGCTTCGGGGTACGCGCCAGTTGCAGTCTGCATCATATGCCACTCCTACCTCCCACGCCGTGCGTCTCACCTCGTCTGGTCTGTTCCCCTCCTGTCTCGTGCCTCCTGCCTTCGGCCTCTCACCGTTTACCTCCGAGACTTCTGCCAACCTCTTGACTCGTTCTTTCTACCTCCTCCTCCTCCTTCCTCGCGCCATCGTCCGAGCTCCTACCTCTTATTTCGTGCACCCTACCTCCTATCTCCTGCCTGCCACCGCGAATGGATCCCAGGGTTCCCAACGTTTTCAAGGGGCGGCGGAAGGCAGGAGGTAGGGGGAGGGAGGAGGAGGGGCGTAAGAGGTAGGATGGAGACGCCGGCAATTGGGGGGTGGCGTGGATTCGAATGAATACGAACCTCATCTCTGAAGAGCGACGCCAACGCCTTGATCCTCACGAGAAAGCGTGGGAACCACACAAGGGTATTACAGCCGCACCTGGTAAGATTATCCACCTTGTGCCTCCAGCCAGGAATAACAATGGCACGCGGCAACAACAGCTGTCGCCTGGCAAGCACAAACTTGGCGCCAAGACACTGATAAAAATCAGGCAGACAGTCGTTCATTTTGGCGACCATGTATTCTGTCCCCATATCGGAGACCACGCCACGCACGCGATCGAGAACTTTGCGCATGACAGTTGCATTGCCGCCAAACACCAAGTGAATCTGCCACAATAGCGCAGCAGTCTTGGCAAGTGCCGAAAGCTGAGTTCTCATAAGAAGAACTGGGGCAAACATCCTGGAAAGAAACTCTCGGCCTGCAACGCGGACACGGTACGAGGCAGCTTGCATCTCCCAGCCTCTGCCTTGCGGACTGGAATCAACATACAGGTAGATGTCAACCTCATTCCAATTCATTGTGAGGAATAGTTGTCTGGTCAGGCGCATGGCAGTCCAGTCTGCTCTGACCCTGGCCGCGCGCAAGGTCTCGTACCTGATCAATCTCAAGCTGCGCTTTAATTCGATACGATCGAACCGCCCACTCTCTGAGAACAGCCTGCTCCAAGCGATCGCGCCTTTAGCGGCGTGCCTGAGCGATCTCAGAGTGCAACTGGCATCCAGCCACGCCAAGACCAGAGAAGCATTTACAGAGTGGCGCCGTACTCCTGGCGCGACGCCTGCCTCAAGGGCTGGCAGGGCAGGCGCGTGCTCCGCATGCCCTCGTCGGAACACTTTCAAGATAGAAGGCCGCGGCCCGAACCTCAAGGTTTGTTTCATTCGCTTCGTCACCACATCGCAGCAAAACAACACTTGCATCATTCCCATCAGGCTCACAGCGAACGATGGACATAGAACAAAGGGTCCGCACATGGTGATGTCCCCATGCGCAACACGGACTTGCTCAACGTGTTCATCCCAGCTCCCGCGCACAGCATCTCCCTCCAAAGATCTGCACATACATATCTGCCCTTGCAATGCGTCAAGGGCAACATTCAGGTTCACTGCATCGGGGTCGCAAGCGCGAGCCTCAAGCAACTCGACGCATGTTACAGCTCTGTGCACCAGAACACCGTGACAAGCTTTACCTCGCAGTGCCGCCAACGATCTTCGCACAATGAGCTGATCGAGCTCACCAGGGAAGCGTCCAGAATCCCGCAGGGGGATCAGCTCCCAGTGGCCCAGGACAGCGCCGAACAGCCAATGCTGTCCGTCTTCAAAGCGGACGCCCTCGGCTCCCGAATACTCGCTGGCGAACGGGCCGCCGCGCACGCCGAAGACGAACCAGAGCCCGTCGGGCCCGCGAAGGATCTCTCGGCCCCGACGCCTCCGCCGGCCCGCCGCTGCAGCCACGCCGTCGCCGCCGACGGCCGCGCCCTCCGCAGGGGCCTCGTCGCCGACGACATCGTCGTCCATTCTTGCGACGCACACTGAGGAAACACAATTGTGCGAAGCCCGTTTGGGTCAAAACGAGTTTGGGCAGAAATGGTTACGGAGGAGGAAGGAGGAGGAGGGGGAGGAGGCGCACCCCAAACAGTGAGTGACACGAGCGGGCATTGTTCGGGGGGGGGTTGTGGAAGAACGGGGCGCTGACCCCTTCCCGTGGGTCCGTGCCCCAAGAAACGCCAGGACCCCAACAGTGGATTCGGCATTTCACTTGAGACATCCGCACACCATGCCACCCGTCATTTCGGACATTGTCTCAGCTTCGCATACGGTTGGCTGCAACGCTTGCAAATAGAAGGACAACCGCTTGAGACATCCTGACATTGTGACGAGCCACTCCGACTGAGCCCTCTACGCGTTGACTCGGCCACGCGACCTGCGAGCGCAAGTGATAAATTCACGCCGACCAGCCCCGATGGGACGTGGTCATGTGGCTTGTAAGCAGGGACATGCAAACCTGGTGTGACCAACTCGCGATTCAGCGGGAACCCATTGTTGGATTTGATTGTGTGTTGCTTTTATTTGTTGGGGGGCGAGCAGGGGGCGGACTTCCGCGTCGTTTACCATCGACGGTGAGTTGTTGTGTTTTTTCGTGTTCGCATTGTTCATCGTTGTTTGGCTGTTGTTTGAGATGCGTATTAGTAAGTTTAAAATCTCGTCGTTGCTCTTAGCGCGCAGTGCTAAAATCCTAAGTTAAGGGATCTTTTCCCTTTTTATGGGAACCCCCCGTCGGTTCACATAACCCCATCCCATTGACGGGAAAGTACCCTTAACCCTTGGAGAGTGTCTAGCCACTGCCTCCCTTGCCTCTTCCCATGTTGACATGGGCCCCGGCCCTTCCTAGTTGCGACTCACGCATCTACTTGTTTGAAGGGGGACCACCCAAGTTTTCTGAGTTGCCCCAGGCGGCGCCTGCCGCGCCCAGTTGCCGCGGCCCACAGACCGGGGGAAAAGCGCCGCCCGACATTTGGACGAATCAAAGGGCGGGAGCAACCGCCAGCTCAGCTGGACTCAGCGCGCATCCCGTCTCTCGCTGACGCTGCGGCCCTCGTGCGTGCCATGGGGCCTGGGCCCCAGCCTGGGCCCCAGCCTGGGCCCGATGGAGTCCGCGATTATTTTTGTCTGCAAAATCGCCCCCGCCGACATGTCGCGCGCGTTCGCCCCCTCCTCTGTCAAACTGCTATGACCAAAACCGAACCCATCAGTTTCACAGACGGGACGGCGCTTTGGTTCTGGAAAGGGAAGGGCCCACAGAACTGCGACGCCAACCAGAGGAACATCCTCAAAGCGAACGCCATCGGCAAGCTCTATCTTTGTTTTGTTCGACCAACTGCTGTTGCACTGTTTCAGCACGCGTTGCTTCTTACCCAATGGGGAGGGCTCCCTGGTCGAATGTGTGACATGGCTGCCCACGCTACTATAGTATATCACCAGGCTGCCACGATTGCCAAGGTCAGCTCTGCTCACTTATTCGTCGACCTCACGAATGCGCTCTAGACTGCCATCCGCTTCTTTGCCCGGGCTCTACCCTGGGAGCAAGAGGAAGTGATGGGTGTGCTTGACACGTGCTGACCCATGCCGCCCACGCAGCGCTCGCCCAAGACACCCCCAAGACGGAGAATACCTGTCGACCTCACTTGCTCGCCCTGGCGAGGCAAAGCCAGGCGTTTTTTTTTTTGTGTCATTATTCTTTCTTTTTTTGTTTGTGAACGTGGAAGAAACGGGCAATTATGGTGCCCCTGATACTGGATCTCGCCCTGGGGCCACTATGGCATCTGATGTGTTTTGCACTGTTTTCAAGAAGGCCCAAGTCCGTGTGGGCACCAGCATGAAACATCGAGGGTGCTGTTGGCTTCCTGCGGTCCAGGACCACTGACTCTCTAAACATGATGACGATTTGCGCGCCACCCCCACCGTCTCAATATGACTTCACTGCCAATATTGGCACCCAGAGAGCAACGGATCTTGCGAAAGCTGCTGCTGGCACCACTGGCATACTCTACGAGGCCATGTGCGCTGTTGGCATGCGAGTGAATGCCAATAAGACCAAGATCATGCTTTGCTTTAGATATCGTGGCCCCGTTGCCTTCGGGCAGCGATCTCTTGGAGCCCCCGCCCCCACCCCCACTTCGCCCAAATGGAACGTCACGCTTGAGATCGCTTCCGCCTCTAAAGCCTCGGGGGTGCACAGTATGGGCAGCGGGGGCATTGACAGTGAGATATCGAACAGTACTAAGCAGTGTACCACTGCGATACGGCCTATCAAGACTGCTGTTGGACCCAGAAATACGCTTCCGGTTCGGGATCGGGCCCTCCTGGGGGAGTCTCTCGGAACTTCGGTCATTCCATGGGTCTGCCGCTATCTCGGGCCCCCAGGACAAACACAGGGGCGCGCGTGCACGGATCTACAGGGCTGCTCTAGGACTACCAGCGGCCAACAACGCCACGGAGCACCGATCGCACCAGGACATCCTCCACAAAATTGAGCGCTTGCCGTGGCAACATGTGGTACGCGTCGCGCGGCTTAGATATCTCTCCAGGATTACTCGTGTCAACAACGCCCCCCTCTTTTGCGCTATTTAGTTGACAGCATGTGGGGCGAACGCAAATCCTGGTGCTCCATTGTTGCTGATGGCCTAACTTGGCCCTCCCCTTGCACTGCTACCCAGGATCTCGCTGATCCCGACGCCCCCCGTGCGCGGCTCGAACGGCTCGTCTCATCCCACCAGGATTCGCGCTGCCACCCCTGCCGCTGCCGCCCGCGCGCCCGCCTTGTGGGGAAATGAATGTCATCGGAAGGCTTGGGACAAAAAGCTCGCCTCCATCACGGAGGGCGCCCCCCTGGCCCCGCCCCCCGTCAGAGCTCAACGGCGCCATGTGTGCTATGAGCGCGGCTTCTCTGCCCCCTTCCCAACGGCAGCTTCGGGTGCACAAAGGGAAATATCACAAATCCTGATGCTCCGCCCTTGCTAGCCACGGGGTCTGTCTACCAGCATTGCCTCGCGGAATACTGGGGCAACGCGCATCTGGTCAGGCATCTGCATCGCGCCCCTCTTGTTGGCGCGCCCTTGCATCCTGGCCTCGCCGCCCGCCGCTCGCTGAGGCTCCGGCGGCTAGAGCTGGGCGCCAGGCCCTTCAGGAGCACAGCCGCGCTCAGGGTCACCAAGGCAATTTCGCTCGCCGCCCTGCCGTTCCCCTCTCAGGCCCCAGGCCCCCTGTTGGTGATTTTGCCCCTCTCGACCCCGCCCCCAACATGCCGTTCGTTGACCTGGAGGCGCCGAGTCCTAGTTCTGCATTACTCCCCATGCGTCCAAGCCCGCAAACACTTGCCCATGCGCATCATGTGTTCTCTGGGCGTCGTAGGGGGCATGACTTTCAAGAACACGCCGAATCATTATTGCAGCAGCGTGCCACTTTCCGCGTTCTGGCGCTCAGCATTGACATCGCGCATAATGCCACCCATGGGGACTGAACGTCCCAGCCCACAGTTGATATGTGGCTTCAGAGAGTGGCCGAAAAGCACGCGCTTGCAATTGCTGCCCCCCCCCCCCGCGCGAGACCTGGCGCGGCGCCGGGCGCCCCCTCCCCCCCCCCATGGCATGCGAACCCCACGCCCCCTCCGTTCGCCCCAGCACCTCCGGGGGCTGCAGACGCTCGCCCCACGAGAGTACCTCCACCTTTATGTGGCCAATCGGCTTCTTAGAACAATGATACTCTTCCCCTATTGAGCTTGGAGGTCCGGGGCCCCGCGCATCGCGGATCACCCGGCGCCCCAGCCTCTCGAGCCCACCCGCCCACGCAGTTGGACGCTGCTTGAAATGCGAGAGCTCGCGACGCAAAAGGGGGGCGCAACATGTCTAAGCTGATCAGTGCCAGTTTGGGTCAGAGGCCAAAAAACCCACGCGAGTTTGAGGCGCCTGGTGCCCAGCCCTTCATGGCTCGATCGATTCTAGGCCTCGCCGGGGGCGATGCGGGGGGGGGCGCATTCCCACGACGTGCTGATGAAGGCTGTGCAAAGAGGGGGGTGGCGTACCGCCGTTGCAAAAGTCTACCCATCTGAACTCTCTCGTCTCCTTGCCTCTGCCCTTTACTGCTCCATCTCCGAATGCTTCCCCGGTGCTTCTGGCTCCCTCTCGGACTGGGCCCTTCACTTATGGGCGCGAGATCTCCTCGCGCCGCTGGACCATTATCTCCACTTTCAGCGCGGCCAAGATTGTACTCTTCATAATAGGACTCATGGGTGAACCGGGGCCCCCGTGCGCGCGGGCTGCGCGGGGGTTGCGGGCCGCGCCCCCCCCCCCCCCCCTCTCTCCCCTGCATGTGCGCGTTTGCATATGTGTTTCACAATATTTTGCCTGCCCCTTCTCGATCTATATGATCAGCGTAGGCAGCGAAGCCGCTGCCTAAGCGAGAGAAGCGAAGCGAAGCGAGGGGGGGAGAAGGAGGAGGAGGCGAGGCGAGGCGAGCGCGCGGCTCCGCCGGGAGCGGGGCCCTTGAGGGCCTGCGCGGGGGCAAGGGTTTTGTCTCCGCCCCCTGGAACAAGGCTCGCGGACGGGCTTTGGATATTCCCAGATGAGTTTTTTTTTTTGCGGAGTACAATTTGATTCCCTTTGTGGCGGATTACAAGTTGATTCCTTTTGTGGCGGATTACAGATGGATACCTTGTGTGGCGGATTGCGAATTGATTCCTTCTGTGGCGGATTACAATTTGATCCCTTTTGTGGCGGATTACACATTGATTTCTGTTGTGGCGGATTGCAAGTTGACTCCTTTCGTAGCGGATTACAGATTGATTCCTTTTGTGGCGGATTGCAAATATTCCTTTTATGGCGGATTACAAATTGATTCCCTTTGTGGCGGGTTACACATTGATTCCTTTTGCGGCGGATTACAAAAGGAATCTTTTTGCGGCGCATTACAAATGGATTACTCTCGTGGCAAGCCCAGCTGGTAGCGACACAGGTCCCAAACCCCAAAAAATATTTATGAAAAAAAAAAAAACAATAAATCATTGAACATTGAGGGGATTATACGACTCTCAATCGTTTGTGATGTTTGGGACCAACAGCGCATAACATTACAGCATTTCCCACCTCCTAAGAGCCCAAGCCATATAAAACGCACCGTTTCAGAAACCTGATGTATGAAAACGCCGTGTTTCATATTGCTCGGGCTCCCTGGAGGTAGGACATGTTGTGCGTGTTTGTCTGGGTTTATGGCGTTGGCGCCAAACTTCAAACACGACTTAGAGTCGTACAATTTCTACAAGTTCGAATGCTGGTTTCCTTCTTTTGGGGCCTGGGCCACTGCCAGCTGGGCTCGCCACGAAAATACTTTATTTGTAATTCGCAGCAACAAAGATTCCTTGTGTAATCCGCCACAAAGGGAATCAATTTGCAATCCGCCACAAAAGGAATCCACTTGCAATCCGCCACAAAAGGAATCAACTTGTAATCCGCCACGCAAGGAATCAATTTATAACCCGCCACAACAATAATTTCATTCGTAATCTACCACAGAAGGAATCCATCTGCAATCCCCCACAAACAAAATAAATTTGCAATTCGCCACAAAAGGAATCAACGTGTAATTCGTCACAAAAGGAATCTATTTGAAATCCGCCACAGGAGGGATCAATTTGCAATCCGCAATAAGCAAAATTAATTTGCACGAAGGGAATCAATGTATACTTTGCGACACGAGGAATCAATTTGCAATCCGCCACAAAAGAAAACCTTCTGTCGGGAGGGGGTGTAAATAGTGGGTCAATCGCTACTAGGATTCTATGAGAGGTGGCTCCTTCTCCCATCGGATTCTCTTAGATGTGGATCCATCTGCAATGGGATTTTCTTAGAGGTGAATCCATCGCTAATAGGGCTCCACTAGAGGTGGATCCATTCCAGATGGGATTCCATTACAGGTGAAACCATCTCTAGTCGGATCCCATTAGAGGGGGGCCAAGCCCTAACAGGATTCCATTAGCAGTGGATTCATTTAGAAAAGAATTATACTCGAGGTGGGCCCATATGCAATAGGGTTCCATTTGATGTGGACCCATCTCTAATGGGACTCTCTTTGAGGTGGGCCCATACCTAATAATACCCCATTAGACGTGGATCCATCTGTATGAGGATCCCATTAGAGGTGGATTCACGCGTGGCAGGATTCTATGAGAGGTGGGCCCATCTGTGTTAGGATCCCTTTTGAAGTGGATCCATATGTGAAAGGTTTTCATTTGAGGTGGGCCCATCTCTCATACGATTCCATTAGTTGTGGATCCAGCTGCAGCCGGATTCCAGTAGAGATGGATCCACCTGTTACATGATTCTATCAGATGTGGGTCCGTCCGTAAAGAGATTGTCTTAGGGGTGGAACCGTCTGTATTAGGATGCTATTAGAGGTGGGTCCATCTGTGGTAGGATTGAATTTGGGGTGAACCCGTTTGTAATAGGATCATATTAGAGGTGGATCCATGTGTAATAGAAGTCTATGAGAGGTGGACCCATGTCTTGTAGGACTCCATCCGAGGTAGGTGGATCCATCCCTAATCGGATTCTGTCAGAGGTGGATCCATATGTAATAAGATTATATTAGAGGTGGGTCCATATGTCATAAGGTTCTGTTAGAGGTGGGTCCATCCGCACTAGGATCCTATTGCAGGTGGAACCATCTCTAATCGGATTCTATCAGAGGTGGATCCATTTTTAATAGGCTTCCATTCGAGGCGAATCCATTTGTAATCGGATTCTGTTAGAGGTGGACCAATCTCTAATAGCATGCCATTGGGGATGGAACCATCTCCAATATGAGTCCATTAGAGGCGGATCCATCTGCAATTGGAGCCCATTAGAGGAGCATCCATGTCTAATTGGATTCTATCAGGTGGATCCATCGCTAACAGGATTATATTAGTGGTGGGTCCGTATGTAATGGGATTATATCAGACGTGGGCTCATCTGTAAAAGGATTTTATCGGAGGTGGATCCATCCGTATCAGGACTCCATTCGAGGTGGATCCCTCTCTGATGGGATCTCACTAGTTGTGTGCCCATCTCTAATGGGATTATATTACAGGTGGGCCCATATGTCATCGGATTACATTAGATATGGCTCCTTCTGTAATCTGATGATTAGGCGTGGACCAATTCCTAATCGGATTCTATGGAAGGTGGATCCATATGTAGTGGGACTCCTTTTGAGGTGGATCCATCTGTTATGCGGTCCTATGAGAAGTGGATCCATCTGTAATGCGGTTCTTTTCGGGGTCGATCCATGCGTTTAAAGATTCTACCAGAGGTGGGTGCATCTGTAAAGGATCCCATTCGAGGTGGGCCCATCTCTAATAGGATTCCAGTAGAGGCGGGTCCATTTCTAATCAGATTCCACCCTGCTACTCCGCGGGAAAATCGGCGCAAAACGTCGCGCCCCAGGGTGCCGAGACAAAACCTCCACCCTGCGCGGGGGGGCCGCGGCCCTCAGCGCTGGTAGTCCTTCTTTGCCGAGGCCGGGGTGGTGAATAATGAGCTGGCGGACGCCGGAAATCAAGCGGTGCAGGTGGAAGTAGAGAGTCGGAAACCGGATGCTGGAGTCGGAGTGCTGGGCGGTCGGCAGGTGGAAGTGCAGGTGGAAAGTCGGGTGCTGGAGGGCGGAGGTCGGAGCGCTGAGCTGCTGGGCGCTGGAGGTCGACGGGTGGAGGCGGGGGTGGGAAGTCGCATGCTGCTGGGGGGTGGAGGTCGGAGCGCTGCATTGCTGGGCGCTGGAGGTCGACGGGTTGAGGTGGAAGTGGAAGTCGGAATGCTGGATGCCGGTGGTGGGAGTGGTGAGCTGGTAGAAGCTGGAGGTCGATAGATGGGGGTGGAAGTGCAAAAACAGACGTCGCATGCTGGGAGTGGGGGCGCCAGAGCTCGGGGTCGGAGGGTGGAGGTCAAAAGCCTGGAATCGGTGCGCGTGTCCAACTCGCTCTGGTTCGATTTCACATCTTGGCGGACGGGCCGGGCGTCTCCGTTCGCGTCGTCCGCGCTTTGCTGGTCGACGGCGAATCGCTCATGCGCGTCCTCTAAGCCCTGCCGAGCGCAGCTATCGCGCGCCAGTTGAAACCACCGTTCGCGGCCAGTACCATCGGGGAGTCTCTTGTCGTGGTCAATCATATCCATGGCGCCAAAAAATTTGACGACCTCGCGGCCCCAGCGCTTCCGATGACCGCCTTGTTTTCTTCGCGCGGGTCTTCCGTCGCGCAGTGGAGGCTGCCGAGCGGCGGCGCGTCGCGCCCAGCGGTCGGCGGGTAAATTGGCAACCCGCTCGGCCCATCTTAAGGTCGTGCGACGCCCAATCGTCGACTTTCGGGCGTGTGGCATGGGCGTCGGCTGCGCGCGTCGCTCGTCGGATGGAGTCCACCCATGGCTCTAAATCCGTCGTTGCTGTTGACGTCGCCGTCGTTGCTGCTGGCACTGCCGCCGCCGTCGTCGTCGTCGCTGCTTTTAGCGCTTCCGTCGTTACCAATGTCGTCGCTGTTAGTGCCGTCGTCATTGTCTGGGTTGCTTTCGGCGAAGGCTCCGTCAAGCTCTGCGCACTCTGCTCCATCTCCCTCCTCCTGTTGGTCGCTACTAGGTTGGAGGTCTTTCTCGTCGTCGTTCCAGAGATTCCCTCGCGCGCGTCGTCTGCCAATGCCCGCGATGATTCGGATCATCTTCCGCTGTGTACGAAGTAGTAATGCAAGCATGTCTTTGGTTAGGGCCCGCGAGCTGCATCCGCGCATGACACTGGGCGTTGCGGGCTCACTGAAGAGGCGTAGGGCACTTGCGAGAGGATAGCGTTTGCATGCCAGCTCGTGTCTCAGATGGTTGAATCGGCGCCAGCCCGACGCGATTATGTTGTCGAGCTCCGTGATGTGGAAATCATTGCATGTAAGTTTCCTGCCCAAATACTTCGTGCTCTGCGTAACGTCCAGAATCTCGACACCACCACCTTCGATGTTAATGGCCCTGATCGTTCTGCCTTGTCGCCGGGTGACGTTGGTCAGTCTTTTCGCCCGGTCTGGGTGCAGCTCAAGACCGCATTGTGTCGAGTGGAGCTTGCGGTCGCGCAGTACACATTTCAACTGACGCAAAGTTGGCGCACACAATTAAAGCTCGTGAGCAAAACGGAGGTTGGTGAGGGGGGTGTCTGTGGTAAAGCCCATCTGTATGCCTAACTGTGTGTTGCGCCATGTGTCCTTCATGCGTCGGCAAATGCTTTCAAGTAGCGCGATGAAAAGTAGGGAGCTGGGCGGGTCTCCTTGTTTCACACCTTGCTGGATGTTGAACTGTCTGCTCGTGCTGTCCGTCCGTACTGTAGCGGTCTGGTCGGTGTAGAATTGTTTGATGTGTATGTAGGATGCCGGCACCTGCTGCTCTCTGAGTGAGTCCCACAGTGCGTTGTGGTCGACACAGTCGAATGTTTTCTTAAAGTCCACCGCTGCTACCCAGAGTGGTAGTTGCCATTCTTCTGACTGGTTGCGCAAGAGAGCCGTCGTGAATAAGTGGTCGTCGGTGCTGTAGCCGTGTCTGAAGCCTGCTTGGTCTACGCTTTGCTGCTTGTCTAACAGTGGACCCAGCCGATTGCACATGAGTCGAGACATGAACTTGTACACAGGAGAAAGATGATTGCAATTGGCCTGCAATGTTGTGGTCGTTTCGCGTCTCCTGATTTGAATCGTAGTGATGGTGGTGCGCCTGCACTGTTCTGGCGGTAACTGTTCTGGGTAAGTAATGTCGTTGAACAAGCATTGTAGGTGCTGTTCTATGCGCGGCCCGCCTGCGTTCAACATTTCTGCAGTGATTCCCGCTGTGTCTTTGCATTTTTCCGTTGTTGAGTTCTTTGGTTGATTGGTGTACCTGGTATTTGCTTCGGCTTCACTTCGGCCTCCAGGTCTTCGCGGCAAGGGACAACGGGGGCGGCAGCCGTGCGTCGAACGTCCGTTGTTGGAGTCAGATTGTCGGTAGAGTTGTTCGTAGAACGTTGCAAAAATATCAGCAATGCTTTGTCGGTCGGTCTCGTCGTTGCCGTCTTGCCCTGTCACTGATGCTAGCATGCCTTTGTGCGTCGTTGTTTTGATCCCCGCTATCTTCCGAAGGCCTGTGAAATTGACGATGATGTCCCTGAGCTTGTCTTGCCGTCGAACCCGTTTTAAAGACAGCAATTCCGTGAAGATCATCTTGCTGATAGCTTTGCGGGTCGCAGTGTCCGTTTTGCGATGAGGTCGCGTAGCTGTTTGGTTTGCTCTTGGTCGGTCGCTCGGTGGGAGTCGTTGGGGTGGGCGGCTTGGGTCTCGTAAACTTTTGTTGCAATCTGTGTCTGTGCAGCTGTTGCTGATTGCCGACGCGTGTGAGTGCGTCTGCACTGTCTCTTCGAGATGTTGCTGGAAAGCTGGGTCGTTTGTTGGTGGTCGTCCGGCTGTTGTTGGTCGTGCTTTCTTGCGTCTTCGTCGTCGCCTTCTCGCAATGGTAGAAGGAGGAAAAGGGGGAGGAGGAGAGAAGGAGGGTGGAGGAAAGCAGGGAATGTGAAACGGTGGGAGGATTGACGATGAGGACGAAGGAGCTCATCCAGGAGAGCGGAGGAAAGCAGAGAATGATAAACGGTGGGAGGAGGACGGACGATGAGGGCGGTGGTGGTGATATTGTGTTCACAAGACATAAAATAAAGTATGTGGGGTTCCTCGGTAGCGTAATTATGATGGGCCCAGGACCCGAGAGAGGCCCCCTGGAGTGCGGTCGGCCTTGAACGGAAGCGCCAACGTCGCCGCCGAGTCGAGGCGGCACGAACCTGATTTAGCCGCGTGGCCGCTTCTGCGGACATCTATCGTTGCATGTCGTGGCACCGCGCGCCATAGAGCCACGGGGCAGCGCGCAACAGACCACGACGCCACTGACCACCCCAGGGACACCCTGGAACGGCTCCAGACAGCATGAGTCCCTCTTTCACCTCCTCTCTTTTTCCCTCCCCGAAAACCCCCTTTGACTTATGGCATTTCTTGGGCCACCCGAAAACATGTGAAGAGAGTCGACCCTCGAGACTCGGTTCTGCAAAACCCTGACGGCGAGGACGTCGAGGCACCGCTCATGGGTCGACGCACGCACGTCAATCATCTCTCCTCGAACATGGATCCGTCAGGCCGACAGCGATGCTCAAACCGCCATCGTACCAACACCCGAACGGCGAGTTGGCGGCACGCCCAGAAAGTGGTAGGACGAGAGGGAACTTCAAACAAAAAAATTCGTATCAACTCTTCTGCCTTCCAGGTGCGCAATGGGCACCGGTACAACTTTCCGATCCCTTCCAAAAGGCAAGCAAGCAACCCGCAAAGGGCGGCGCTACCGATCCTCGCGCCTGGATCCTCGAACCATGATGACGACGGCGATCCTCGAACCTCGATCTTCCGATCCCCCGAGCCGAGCGGCGGGGACGACGAGGCTCCGCTGAGCCATGGGCGCTGGAGATACTCCCGGGGAAACTCGCAGCGATGCCCGGCAGCGGGCTCAGGTTCCGCGCCAGCTCGAGCGACCCCGACCTTCTCTGGGGGAGGATGGGGGGGAACCGAAGCTCCACCAGGACGAACACAAGTTCCTTCCCTCCACCTCCTTCATTCGCTCTGAACCTCCTTGTCCCCTCATTTCTTCCTCTCCTCCAACTCCTCCTCGTCCTCCCGTTTTCCTCCTCTTCCTCCTCCTCCTCGCGATTCGTGTCTGGATCGATCCCCCGCTGTCGAAGGTCGAAAAAACCCATCGCGTCCTTGTTCTCGGGGTGCCCAATGCACTCCCCACCCCCGCCCCCGCCTGACGAAGGACTTTCGCACACCCATGCCTCCAACGTCAAGCGCCATAAAATGTGTGCCGGCAGCGACGCCAAGCAGTGAATTGCACCGTGGATGTGTAAGAGATGTGTGTACGCTTGATGCGAACGATGTGGTGCCAGCCATGTCTTGCAATCCGCCTTGCAGCATTTGAAGTAACCAACTCCACTGCTCGAGCCATCATCCCACCCTCCGACCCGCAACTTGTTTTGCAAAAACCATGCAGCCGCGATTGCGGTGACTACTTGGCATTGGACGGCGCTGCCCTGCGGCTGCGCTAGAGCGCGCAAACTCGTGCGCAGCGCAGCCCGGTGGTTTCTCAGGCGCGCGGATGAATTACCGCAGCGCGCAGCGCAGGGCAATTCAGTGCGCGTCGGTGACTCAGGCGGGCGCAGTATCATGATGGCATGGACAATGGCGGCAACGATGATGATGGTACCGATGGTGGCGGGGATGATGATGATGACGACGGCAAGGCCAATGACGGTGCAGATGCTGGTGACGACGATGATGATGATGCTGTTTTTTTCCTTCAACGACGCGAAGAAATGGCTACGACACCCAGCGCGGCCTGCAATCCCGAAAAAGGAGAGAGCGGGAGCAGCGCCAGCATACGGGAACGATCAGCTGCAAAGCCAGCGGCCCATCGAAAATCAACAGGTCGCCCGACCCGACAGCAAAAGAAGAAGGGGGCGGCGGTCTGCAATTTCCGCAACCTGCGCCGTGCTTTATGTGAGAAATCAACAGCGGCGCGACAAACCAGACCACAAGCATGCGACATGTCCCCCCGCGCGCCTGGGCAGGACCGTCGGCCCCCCAAAAAAAAAGAGTCGGCAGAGACAGCGAGCTTCGCGGAACCCTCGCTCCAGGAAGCGGCAGTCGAGGCGGGCGAAAGCGACGGGGGGGGCGGCGGCAGCGCGGAGAGAGGCGGCGGCGAGAGATGCGAGGGACGTAAGAGGCGGATAAACAGAGACAGGCCACAGAGCAGGAAGAGAAACTACCCCCTGGCCGTCGCCAAAGCAAGCTGCACTTTGGGACGGCGCCGACAGTGGAGGCGAATCCGAGCGCGAAACAAATCTCCGGGAAGGGTGGTCGACCCCTCGCGAGAGCAGCCCTGGACGAAGGGAAACGCGCCACAAATACTCGCACAGAACAGACGGTTGTTAAACCATGGCGGGAGGGGAGGGGGGGGGGGGGGGCGCCAGCGTCAAACAGCGGAACCAGGACTCTTCGCAACAAAAAGCGAAGCCAAACAAGGAGCGAGGACTAGGCGCATCCGTCGAAATTCAGGACAAACGCGGTGATGTCCCAGAGAGTAAGTCGCCCCATCGGAATCGCATCGCCAGCGGCACCTGTCAATTCCGCGGTGGAACCTCGCGCTCGCGCGCGCGCGCCGTGAGAGAGAGAGAGAGAGAGAGAGAGAATTCGCAAGATAACAAGCCAGAGATAGCATGGACTGACAGCGACAATCTTTCGCATGAAGCGGACAGCCGCCGAGACTTGCATAACCTCAGCACCAGGAAGCCGCCGCTGGATTCGCTCGAATAGACAATGAAGCGGAAAGAGACGATGGTTGAGCCCTGAGCCAGACATATCTCGTCTTCCCAGAAGTCGATACTGGACCGAACATGCGCGCGCGGCCGCCGAGGAGACGCAGCACGAGCACGACGAAAATCATATTGCAACCAAAGGTCAGTCAGGAGCATCCGTATTTCCAAAGGCCCGAGAGGCGCGAGCAAGACGAACTTGAGTGGCAGCCCCGACCATCGCAAGGTCAGCGGACTCAACCGAGAGACCAGGATCTTTCATGCAAGCATACATCGCACGGTTGAAAAGGAAACGCGGGCCCGCCATCAACTTCTGTTGCCCGTTGCCCTCGCAACGCAGAACCGCTGCGAGTAGAATTGCATCGCGAACCGCAACGCCGAGACAACGAACGCGACATACATGCGCATCTTCATAGCGAGACCAAACCGAAACCTACGAATATCGATGCACCGTTGGTGGCATGTCCGAAGTGCCGTGTCCCATGTGCGCCGTCACCCCCCAGGGCCAATCTGACTGCCTAGGTGCCGAGCGCGCCGCGCAAGCTTGGTATCGGGAGCACCTAGCAGAGCGAGCATGCGCGTGATCTGCCGTCGTGCACGCGCAGTAAGAACCCACCCACAATGCGCAAGAACACACTTCCCCAGGTTCAGCCGACGTCCGATCCCAGCATCGAGACGTTGCAAGAGAGGAAGAAGCATCGACAGTTCGATAACGACATTGCGAAGCCCAAACCAACGATCAGCAGCATGCCCAATAATCTGTCGAGGAAGACGAGAGGCTAGGCATCGCAGACATGGGTCAAGCGCCAAAGCAAAAAGCAGCATGCTAGACGGGCCCCCATGTCGAACGCGCCGCATCAGTCGAATCGCGCGGTGTCGTTGCCGCCCGAAGCAAACAGTACCAGCGTTGCCCCGATAGAGCGCGCCGAAGAAACCAGCGACCCCAGGGTGCACATTCATCGCGCAAAGAATGCGAAGAAGCCAGGACACCGCACCGCTCGGAAACGCGGCCGCAAAGTCCGCGGGAAACATGCAAGAGAGGTCCCTCCCCAGTAGGCAGTTCTGAGCACCCGGAACTTCTGCTTCGAGAGTCTGGCCAGTCATCGAACGACCGGAGAGACGCGCCTGAGCCTTCGACACGGTCTCACGAGCACACCTGTCAAGTCTCCACGAAGAAGCAACCGAGGATAGTTTGCAATTCGCGTCAGCCATAGCAAGCGGGCGGCAGGCATCGGGCGAACGAGAAGGGGCGCTCGGGATATCAGAGGCGCGCCCCCCTGTCGCAATAATTACGCTACCGAGGAGCCCCACATGCTGATGTTATGTCTTGTGCGAACCGCGCTACCACTACCACCGCCGTCATGCTCTCAGGTGCCCCCTGTGGTCGTTGAAAGGAGGGGGGGGGGGGGGGGGCGTGTGGGGGGAGAGGAGGGGTTGAGGAGTCATCTGTGACGGTCATATCCGGCGTCGCCTGGCACTTGGACACGACAGGTAATGCGCAATCCCGAACTAGAGGCTATGCCTGGACGACCCTGGCACGCATAGGGAGACCACCCCCTGCGCACACCCCCTCTGGTGTGAGAAAGTGCCACGCCTGCCGCGCTCTCCGACCCTGGCACGCATAGACGCCGCGGTGAGGCACTGCGCACCCCCCCTGGTGTCGAGAAAGTGCCACGCCTGCCGCGCTCTCCGACCCTGGCACGCATAGACGCCGCGGTGAGAGACCACCCCCTGCGCACCCCCTCTGGTGTCGAGAAGTGCCACGCCTGCCACGCTCTCCGACCCTGGCACGCATGCCGCGGTGAGAGACCACCCCCTACGCACCCCTCTGGTGTCGAGAAAATGCCAGACCCTGGCACGCATAGACGCCGCGGTGAGAGACCACCCCCTGCGCACCCCTCTGGTGTCGAGAAAGTGCCACGCCTGCCACGCTCTCCGACCCTGGCACGCATAGACGCCGCGGTGAGAGACCACCCCCTGCGCACCCTCTCTGGTGTCGAGAAAGTGCCGCGCCTGCCACGCTCTCCGACCCTGGCACGCATAGACGCCGCGGTGAGAGACCACCCCCTGCGCACCCCCCTGGTGTCGAGAAAGTGCCACGCCTGCCGCGCTCTCCGACCCTGGCACGCATAGACGCCGCGGTGAGAGACCACCCCCTGCGCACCTTCTCTGGTGTCGAGAAAATGCAACGCCTGCCGCGCTCCCCGACCCTGGCACGCATAGACGCCGCGGTGAGAGACCACCCCCTGCGCACCCCCCCTGGTGTCGAGAAAGTGCCACGCCTGCCGCGCTCTCCGACCCTGGCACGCATAGACACCGCGGTGAGAGACCACCCCCTGCGCGCCCTCTCTGGTGTCGAGAAAGTGCAGCGCCTGCCGCGCTCTCCGACCCTGGCACGCATAGACGCCGCGGTGAGAGACCACCCCCTGCGCACCCTCCCTGGCGTCGAGAAAGTGCCGCGCCTGCCGCGCTCTCCGACCCTGGCACGCGTAGACGCCGCGGTGAGAGACCAAGCTGTGCTGAGCAGTGCTGTGAGGAGGAGGAGGGTGCGAGGTGAGACGCGGGTGCGACGCGGCAGGCAAGAAACCAGAACCCCGCGAAGCATGTTGGGGAAAAAAACAAATAACATCTGACGGATGCTGCGCGGTAGCTCCCCCCCCCCCCCGCGCGTCTCCATGACCTGAAAGTAGAGCTGATGCATAATCTCCTTTGTGCCAGCGCTTTTCCAACGTGAGTGCACAGCGCCGTCGGGGCCAGACATGGGGCCGGACCTGGCACGCACCATGGCCTCAAAGTCATCAAAGGGCATGACCCAGGAGTCTTCAGAGATGCCTGCTAGAGGCTGAACGAACGCACCCAATTCACCCCATAGACCAGCGCCACAGTCATGAGCACCAAAGACCACCTCCCAGCGCGCCGCAAGCGCCTCGCCAGCAGGCCTCGTCGGACCAGTGGGAAGACCATCGGGCCACAAGATATCACCCAAAGAAATGCGCCTCTGCATCGGGCGCCAAAGTTTTTTGCGCCTCTGAAGCCTTGCCCGAAAAAGCATATTAGCATCGGGATCGGTCGCGCGCTCAATCTCCTGGTCTAGAGCCCTGATCCCATGGTTCCGAAGCGACTGAATCGGATCGCGCAAGAGAGGCAGAGAGCGACAGGCGCAGTCGCCGACGTCAAAGAAGTGAGCAAGCTCACGATGCGATTCAACCGACGCCTTCAACTGTTCCTGTGAACGGGCGCGGACACTCCGAAGCGCAGCCAAAGCAACGTGGACATTATCATCAGCCTCGGTCGCCGATTTCACCCGAATGCGTTTCTTGGCCTGGCGAGCCGCCTCCCACGCGCGCTGCTTCAACCGAGAAACCTGATCCGCGATCGGCAGAGACCTGTCCAGGCCACCCAAAATGAACGCCAATTCCGCATGAAAAAAAAGGACGTCAGCCAATCCCGCATGGGATCCGCGGGAACTCAACAGGGGAAAATTGTCGGACCGCGGCCCTAACGGGTACATGGCCCGAGACATTCCCCAGAAAAACCGCCTTGCCAATGACGGAACGCGCGACCGTGAAGTCCGACAAGACAAGGTGGCAGAGGGGCTCGTCACATGAATGCGATCAAGACGACTCACGTGTGCCAGCTGCCCGTTCTGGGTCTCGCGACGGGTCGGCTCGGGCTGGTGTAACTCCGTCCAACGTGGGAAATACTGAGCAAATACGGCGCGGCGGTATCGGCCCCCAGGACGCCACCCAGACCCATCCACACACGGACGCCCTTCCCCCTTCCAAAATGAAATTAAAGCCACCACAAACAAGAACAAGGCACCCCCAGCGGTAGCAAGACCATCACGAATACGACGCAGATCACGGATGAAGGCCCCGACGGGCTCGCCAGAGGTCGGGAGATGGACGTTTAGCACCCATGAGGCCCAATAGTAGCCATTACATGTCGATCGGAGAATACTGCCATGAACAATGGGATAGTGTTCGATGCACGCTAAGAGCCGGCATATAGCAGGAGAGAGAACAAAGAATACGCCACCCGCGATGCCATAATTACTACCAGAGAAGCCAATTAAGTACCCGCATAAGTCAGTCTGAATGGCCGTGGCGTCACCCTGAGTGCCAGGAATGTCTCACATACAATATATACTGGACCGACGAGAACGCGCAAGAAACCGATGGTAACGTCTGGAAGCGCGAAGGGAAGCATGGGAGATGGGAGCAAAGAGCCCCCTAGAGTTCCAAGTGGGAGCACAAAGAGAGAGAGAGAGAGAGAGAGAGAGAGAAAAGAGAGAGAGAGAGGGAGGGAGAGAGCGAGAGAGAGAGAGAGAAGGAAGGCGGCAGCGAGAAAGGCAGACGTTTCAAACCAGCGCCCCCCCCACCGAGACACTGATCAAAAACGCGCTGAGGCTGGATGGCGTTGCCACGACAATCTGAATTCACACTCAATGGGGGCCCAGCAGCGGCAAGAACCGCGCCACTCTCCCTCGAGCCCAAAAATGGGTCACTGGGCACATGCAGATGTCACTGCCACATGGCCAGTCGGGCCCCTCCTCAAAAGGGACGGGAAAAAACCGACTTGAACGAAGTCTCGAATTTAGCACGAACTGACTGCAGCCCCATAGCTGCGAGCCCTTCCTCCTCAATACGCATGTGGATTACGCGGGCATTCTGAGGGCAGCAACTGAAATGAGACAGAAGGATCCTCCCTCGAGCGGAGCGCGAAAACATCCCCACCAATCCCGTTCGAATTAGCCTGAAGCCCTGCCTTACTCAGTTATTCCTGCAACGCCTCACGCACTTTCCCCATATTGAAGAACAAGAGACAATGCTGTGGAGACAAGTTCCGGCGAACACGGAGAGGCCATAGATCTTGCGGGTCCCGAGAGTTCGGCACAGCATGCGTTCACTCAGATTCCTGAAATTGTCCGAGAAGCCCGACGCCATCGCAGGGGAGGGGAAAACAATAGTCACCTTCTTCTGTAGGTCATATGCACGGATCCGAATGAGCTTCCCCGCCTGTTCAGTCCCACGCTTGCCTACAATGTCGGAGGCGATTCTTTCTAGTGCCGACGCCATGAGACGACCCTTGAACCCCAGGATGAGCAGGCGATGGGCATCCTCAAGAGCAGCTGAATCATTTCCAACCGGCGTGGAACTGTCCAAGACAACAGCCCTTCTTTTCCCCGAGGGTGGCACGGCATGCGAATACGGAACCTTCGAGACGAATGATTGATGTGCCTGCTCCAGCGTTTCAGGACGGGTTGCAGGCGCGCCTTGTGGCCGAGGAGATTTGGTCCGTCATTTCTTTGATCTGTTGACCTTGGGCTGTCACCGTCGCGGCGATCGACCCGAGCTTCTGATCGAGCATGTTGCTCGTACTGGCAATGTGCTCGGCCAGCAGAGGCTTGATCGACGCGAGATCCGCCATAGCAGAACCAGCAGCGGAGGGAGAGAGGGGATTGCACACGGAACTGGATACACTGCACACAACAGCCCCTGTGGCAAAATGATCGAGAGGCCCTCGGCTGCGATCAAGCTCGAATTGCCAGGCCGTAGCAGTTCGAACTTGAGCCAAAATGGCTACAAATGATGATGATGATGATGATGATGATGTCCATGTGTCGGTGATGAAGGTGGTTGCCTTGTGATGGTGGCAACGGCGGCGCTTCAGAATGACGATAACGGAGGTGATGCGCTGGCGCTGATGAAGGTGATGGCGATCGAGGAAAGCGAGCCTGACGGCTTGGAGCCGCGCGCGTTCGTCATACAATTGCAACAATGACAAGGACGGATGCATATTCCTGTTGATGTTGATTCCAGCTTGAGATCTTCAGCTGCACAGATAGAGGGCGGTTCCTTTTCAAAATTAAGGGCTTCGTAGATGGGGATCTAGCAAGCGGGGTCGGAAGACCGCGCCGCATCGCCACTGCATCGCCGATGCCACATCGAGCTGCATCGCCGATGTATCGGACATGCATCGGCAATGACGGCCGATCCTCCGACCCAATCCACTCAAATCCAATCTGCGAGTCCTAGACAACTGGGGCTCTCGCATGAGACATCTTCGGCCAAGCGTGTACTCTTGTGCACCTGCTACATGGATGTGAAACGCCCATGTTCGAAACGGGGTTCTCGCTGGACACCCCGTTGAACTTTACCGATCCTGGAGCATGTGTTTTCTTATCTGGCGATAAATCCGGGTTATCCAATGCCACTCGACCACCTAACGTTTTCGCCCTGGGCAGCCCCGCAGATGCATGCGCACACCAGTGCTGCGTCTGATACGGCTGCTAATGATGCTACGGCGATGCTACGAATGCTGCACCGATGTCAACGCCGTGTGAGAACGCCACGGAATGAATGCGGTCAGCTAGCCTTCGCATATAGGTAAGGATCTGATAGGGATACCCCAGCACAGAATATGGAATTGCTGAAATGAGGCACGAACAGCAACGGCAGCAGCGCCTGCGCGGATGTTGTGAGCTCCCAATCAGCTCCCTATGAGCTCCCTGCGCCCCCCGCCGTTGGACCTGCGCAACCGACAAGGTCAAACGTATCGGGGCGGGTGGGGGGTTCAGGCGGGGCCTTATACAACAACACGCTCCTACACGTTTCCATTATTTCGCGATCGCCGGAAGCAGCTCAATTTCAAAACGGGGCTCCCACTGAATGGCAGGCCCATCGGGTGCTCGTTTTTGGAGGGGACAACTCCTGTGATGTGTTGTGTGGGCTTGTGAGGTGACTTAGAACGGAAGGGTGTATTGCAACATCGTTGATGCATCCTGGGTTCACTCTGGCCCTCCTCCCTCCTCCCCATCCCCTTCCCCCTCCCCCCCCCTTGTCGCACTCATACCACCACATCCGTCTCCACCTCCCGTTTCCGTCATTTCCCCCCCCCCCCCCCTCTCCCACATCATCCATTCTATGTTCGTCATCCTCATGATCCTCCTTTCCATCCTCATCCTTCTCCTCATCCTTCATCTTCTTACCTCCTCCTCCCCCTCCTCCATCCTAATCCCCTTACCCCCCCTCCCCATCCATCATTTGTCCCTCCTCCCTGCTCCCTCTCTCTCATCCATCCCCCTCCTTAGCGTAATGGGGGGACAAACGATGACCTACATATATTTTTTCGGAGGTCCGCGCGGATTTGCCGGATCGGCGCTGGACCCCTCCCTGGCGCGCATATCGCTGTTCGTTCCCCACCCCCCTCCGACAATCTTATCCTCCTTCCTCCCGTTTCCCCCTCCCTCTTCCCAGTGGGCCCCCTCCCGGAGACCGTTGCCGCGCCGCCTCGAACGACCTCGACCGGTGGTCCACCTGCCAGTGCCCACGGTTTCCCTGTTGTGCTGCCCCCGCTGCACTAGGAAAAGTTCGCGAGGGGGATGTACTGCACGCCACTGAGGGAGAAAAGGAACAAGGTTCATGCGGTCAGCCACAAGCCCTGTGAGAGGCACGTTGGAACATTTGTTTGGGCACCGCGGCGCGGCTTTGACAGACCGCGCCGTGGGCCTGCGATAGGGCCCCCTATAGGGACTTGAAAAATGGGGACACAGGAACACAGGAAAGGGGGCTTGAAGGAAAGGCGTGTGGAGAGCACGGAGTGAGAGGGAAATGTGAATGGGGAGGGAACGGGGGCAGGTGGAGGGGGAGAGAAGGGCAGGGGGATCCATGCAGAAAGGAGGGAACGGGGAATAATTGAGAGGGAAGGGCGGCGCCCCGTCGCAATGATACCCATCTTCCTTGCTGCAGGAAATATGAAGGTCGTGCTATTTCTTGCACCCGAAAACACAATCCTGAATGAGCGCGTCCACCCTCCCGCCCCGTTTGGCAGGTTGTGCCAAATTATTACGGGCGACAAGGATTAATCAGCACGAGTGGGCGAGAGCTGGCAGCAGAGAAAACGATTATTATCAACACCAAGTGTTCCACATCTCTACTGGCCTAATTTCCCTATAACAGCAAGATGCAGTGACACATAATTACCACTAGTTCTACATAACGCTGCCAGACTACTCGATAATAGCATGGCGGCTCTCTCACCCACTGATTCAAAACTCAGATACCAATATACGTGTGTACATATACACATATAGCAAAATGTGTATATATATGTATATATGTATGTATGTATCTATGTATATAATATATATATATATATATATGTATGTGTATGTATGTGTACATGTATATACATATGTATACATATATATATATGGTCCCCCCCCAGCACACCCAAACCACCAAAACCACAAATCCATCATTGATCGCCTGCTTGTTCTCATCCTCCTCCTCTTCATCCTCCTCCTCCTCCACACAAAATCATACATCGCCTTCCCCCATGCATCCATTATCACTTCTTCCGTGCGTCTGATCACCAGCGCCCTGCCCTCTGCCTCCCACAACCACAAAAACAAACAAACATACACAGTGGTTGGCGCCCTCGATGCAAGGAGACGTTTTTCTTGTTTTCGTTATTTTGTTGTCTGTGAATCAACGAAACACTGGCTTTTCCCAACCATCCTGTGGTGTTGGGTCCTCGTTTTGAAAAGACGGTGCCCCGCGTCGCCTCTCCTCTCCTTCCTTCCTCCTCCTCCGCCTCCTCCCTCCTCCCACCCCTCACACGCTTCGTGGCCCCATAGGGAGCTCCACCGAAAGCCCCAATGGCCGCGTCCACATGGCGGCGCCGCACCCATTTCGGCACACCCCTCACACGTTTCGTGGCCCCATAGGGAGCTCCACCGAAGCCCCACAGCACACCCCTCACACGCTTCGTGGCCCCATAGGGAGCTCCACCGAAGGCCCCAGTGGCTGCGCCCGCATGGCGGCGCCGCACCCATTTCGGCACACCCCTCACACGTTTCGTGGCCCCATAGGGAGCTCCACCGAAGGCCCCAGTGGCTGCGTCCACATGGCGGCGCCGCACCCATTTCGGCACACCCCTCACACGTTTCGTGGCCCCATAGGGAGCTCCACCGAAGGCCCCAGTGGCTGCGTCCGCATGGCGGCGCCGCACCCATTTCGGCACACCCCTCACACGTTTCGTGGCCCCATAGGGAGCTCCACCGAAGGCCCCAGTGGCTGCGCCCGCATGGCGGCGCCGCACCCATTTCGGCACACCCCTCACACGTTTCGTGGCCCCATAGGGAGCTCCACCGAAGGGCCCCAGCGGCTGCGCATGGCCACCGCACCCATTTCGGCACACCCCTCACACGTTTCGTGGCCCCATAGGGAGCTCCACCGAAGGCCCCCGTGCTACCGCCCTCGTGCGCCCCGTGCGCCCAGACAGCGTTTCGTGGCACGCTTTTCGTGGCCCCATAAGGATTCCCACCGAAAGCGGCACCCACAAAGCGCTATTGACAATTGCATATGGTTGGGTCCTTCGCCAGGATAATTTGGTTTGGGAACCCCCATGCTCGCCGCGGCTTCCCTAGCAGCACCCTTCTCTCTGCCTCCCAAAACCAAAGAAAATGTTTGGCGCCCTCGATGCAAGGAAACGCTGTGTATGATTTCTTTGGTCTGTGAATCAACGAAACGCTGTCCTTGTCTTGTTTGTGTTATGATTTTTGGTATTGGAACCTCCATGCTCGCCGCGGCCTCCCTACCAGCACCCTTCTCTCTGCTTCCCAAAACCAAAAGGAAAAAATAGCATTGCGAACGACCCAACATATACAGTTGTAAGTAATGCTGGTGTGAGTACAGTCTTCGGTGGATCTCCCTATGTGGCCACGAACCGTTTGAGGAGTGTGCCGAAATGGGTGTGGGGGCGGCATGCGAACGTTGCCACTGGGGCCTTCGGTGGAGCTCCTTATGGGGCCACGAAACGTGTGAGGGGTGCACCGAAGTTGGTGTGGGGGCGGCATGCGAACGCAGCCACTGGGGCCTTCGGTGGAGCTCCCTGTGGGGCCACGAAACGTGTGAGGGGTGTGCCGAAATGGGTGGGGGAGGCATGCGAACGCAGCCACTGGGGCCTTCGGTGGAGCTCCCTATGGGGCCACGAAACGTGTGAGGGGTGTGCCGAAATGGGTGGTGGGGAGGCATGCGCTGCCACTGGGGCCTTCGGTGGAGCCCCTATGGCCACGAAGCGTGTGAGGGGTGCGCCGAAATTGGTGGTGGGGCATGCGAACCCTGCCCCTGGGGCCTTCGGTGGAGCTCCCTATGGGGCCACGAAACGTGTGAGGGGTGTGCCGAAATGGGTGGGGGGGCATGCGTGCCCTGGGGCCTTCGGTGGAGCTCCCTATGGGGCCACGAAACGTGTGAGGGGTGTGCCGAAATGGGTGGTGGGGAGGCATGCGGACCCTGCCACTGGGGCCTTCGGTGGAGCTCCCTATGGGGCCACGAAACGTGTGAGGGGTGTGCCGAAATGGGTGGTGGGGAGGCATGCGAACGCTGCCACTGGGGCCTTCGGTGGAGCTCCCTATGGGGCCACGAAACGTGTGAGGGGTGTGCCGAAATGGGTGGTGGGGAGGCATGCGAACCCTGCCACTGGGGCCTTCGGTGGAGCTCCCTATGGGGCCACGAAACGTGTGAGGGGTGTGCCGAAATGGGTGGTGGGGAGGCATGCGAACGCAGCCACTGGGGCCTTCGGTGGAGCTCCCTATGGGGCCACGAAACGTGTGAGGGGTGTGCCGAAATGGGTGGTGGGGGGCCGGCATGCGGACCCTGCATGCGAACACTGGGGCCTTCGGTGGAGCTCCCTATGGGGCCACGAAACGTGTGAGGGGTGTGCCGAAATGGGTGGTGGGGAGGCATGCGGACCAGCCACTGGGGCCTTCGGTGGAGCTCCCTATGGGGCCACGAAACGTGTGAGGGGTGTGCCGACATGGGTGGTGGGGAGGCATGCGAACCCTGCCACTGGGGCCTTCGGTGGAGCTCCCTATGGGGCCACGAAACGTGTGAGGGGTGTGCCGACATGGGTGGTGGGGAAGCATGCGAACCCTGCCACTGGGGCCTTCGGTGGAGCTCCCTATGGGGCCACGAAACGTGTGAGGGGTGTGCCGAAATGGGTGGTGGGGAGGCATGCGAACCCTGCCACTGGGGCCTTCGGTGGAGCTCCCTATGGGGCCACGAAACGTGTGAGGGGTGTGCCGAAATGGGTGGTGGGGAGGCATGCGGACCCTGCCACTGGGGCCTTCGGTGGAGCTCCCTATGGGGCCACGAAACGTGAGGGGTGTGCCGAAATCGGTGGCGATGATGATGCTGATGATGCTCATGATGATGATGATGATGATGATGTGATGATGATGATGGATGAGGAGGAGGAGGGGGGGAGGAGGAGGAGGCGAGGAACGCGGGGCGCCGTCTCATCAAAACGAGGACCCAACACCACAGGATGGTTGGGGAAAAAACATACACAATGGTTGGCGCCCTCGATGCAAGGACGCGCTGTGCATGCTTGTTGTTGTTTTGGTTTTGTTGGTCTGTGAATCAACGAAACACTGTATTTGTCTTGTTTTTGTTATGTGTTTTCCCAACCATCCTGTGGTGTTGGGTCCTCGTTTTGAAGAGACGGTGCCCCGCGTCTCCTCTCCTCTCCTTCCTTCCTCCTCCTCCGCGTCCTCCCTCCTCCCTCCTCCCACCCCTCACACGCTTCGTGGCCCCATAGGGAGCTCCACCGAAGGCCCCAGTGGCCGCGTCCACATGGCGGCGCCGCACCCATTTCGGCACACCCCTCGCACGTTTCGTGGCCCCATAGGGAGCTCCACCGAAGGCCCCAGTGCTACCGCCCTCATGCGCCCCGTACGCCCAGGACAGCGTTTCGTGACACGCCTTTCGTGGCCCCACACGGAGCCCCACCGAAAGCGGCGCCCACAAAGCGCTATTCACAATTGCATATGGTTGGGTCCTTCGCCAAGATAATTTGGTTTGGGAACCCCCATGCTCGCCGCGGCTTCCCTAGCAGCACCCTTCTCTCAGCTTCCCAAAGCCCAGGGATATGTCTGGCGAACCCGATGCAAGGAAACGCTGTGTATGATTTCTTTGGTCTGTGAATCAGCGAAGCGCTGTGTTTGTCTTGTTTGTGTTATGATTTTTGGTATTGGAACCTCCATGCTCGCCGCGGCCTCCCTACCAGCACCCTGCTCTCTGCTTCCCAATACTAAAGAAAACAACAAATTAGCATGGCGAAGGACCCAACCATATGCAATTGCGAGTAATGCTGGTGTGATCACCGTCTTCGGTGGATCTCCCTATGGGGCCACGAACCGTTTGAGGGGTGTGCCGAAATGGGTGTGGGGGCGGCGTGCGAACGTTGCCACTGGGGCATTCGGTGGAGCTCCTTATGGGGCCACGGAACGTGTGAGGGGTGCACCGAAGTTGGT